AAGAAGTTAAATCGTTCACGCTACGGATGAGTTATAAAAGCTTGTAATTTTCCAACTTTTTACAACCTAAGTATATAACTCAAGAATACACGTGCTTAAGCTGTATTCGTTTCTATTTTATTTTGTATTCACGATGTACAAGCTGTATCATATTTGCCATCCGCTTCCTTTTACCCGTATTGGCATCCGACAGTAAATAAACAAGCTTGTCTTCGACCTCGACATTTGCCAAAGCCAAGTTTGTATTAATCTTTTTCCGATATTACGAGTTATTTATATTCGAATGTACGCTTAATTTGCTAATAAAAGATCGTAACTTTAGGGATAACAATAACGTTATCCGAGGGTTAAGTGGATTTGTTCGTGCATCGCAACAAGTGGTCATGAGGAGAAATAATGTTTTTTTAAACGTAAAAGAAATTTATTCGATTGTTAGCGAAATATTCTCGGAATTAAAGCAAATAAACATTTCGTTTATTGGAACTGTATATGCTCGATATAATCCAATACTTATAAAATGAATGAAATATCAATGATTTCATTGTTAAAATAATTTATTTTATATTACAATCTTATGTTTACACTTTTAATTTGTTTTATCGTTGTATTTGTAATAATGGCAGGACGTACTGGTATATTTTCTCCCTCTTGAGTATAACATAAGAAAATCTGTTAAAAAATGTTAAAAAACAAAAATCTTCAGACGTGTGCTTTAAAATCGCTCTTAAAGATTGAGTTCTAAAATTCCACATTCATGCACAATATATTAATAATTCACAACTGATCATTTACTCCAGTAAAAAGAATGCTTTGAACAACTGTAAAGGCCTGAAGGCTTTTAGATCAAATGCCAATAGTTCAGTATAGATCCGGTATACTATGTAGCTAAAATAGAAGTAAAACCCTACACGTGTGGGTGGAGATAGTTCACATTGTGTTATGTACTTAAATCTAGTTTTTAATTAGTTCCCAATTGAAATATATATTATAACTTTCTATTAAAACAACAATTCCTTAAAAGGATGAAGTAAGTTGAGAACATCCTTTATAAAGGGATACATATCAATACTCAATTGCTTAAACAGACGTATAGTGATCAAACGATGTTTAACAAACCGTACTAATATCAAAAAGCCTAAGAAATATCCTATATTCGTACAAATATCGAATTAAAAACATGTTATAATTACTAACAAGGGCACCCTTTTAAAATAAATAAACATATTTCTCTGTTCTGAAAAACGGTCAGACTTACTGATAGCTCGTAATATCACATTAAACGACTCCCAATGGGGAAGGTAAATTCGCTCCAAAAATGATAAGCTCAATAAATGCATATATTTCACGTATCTATTTAGACTCGTATGATTTTTGTTTCGAGCGCCATTGGGAGATATTGTTCCCTCTTCATGATGTATGATTCGTAGCACATTACTCTAATACATATTTAAGTGATGAAATGGCTCAAATTAATAAAATATAAGACCTTATAATTGAATCTTACAAAAAGAACGACTAATATTATGGCACAAAATTCTAAAAAAAATCACTATTTATCTCTATTTCAGTTTTTAATTTCGATAGCTATTGGTACTTATGAATAGGGTTTGATTTAATTAAGGCACCGAGAATATATCAAATATATTTGATTGAATATATCATTCATTCTGTGAGATGACTGATTCCGAATGCAATTCAATAAACAAAAGCCAGTGAGAAACTCAAAACATAAAACAATAATTAATAGTCTTAATATTTATACATTATATACAAATAAAAGATCAAAATGAGATGTAATATCATTTTTACCTTAAATATATTTAAAAATATAAATGGTAGCTCAAATTGAAACAAGTAATACTATAGAAAATGTAAAACGAAATTTCTCTTCAAATATTATTACGATTAAATTCGTCATCATCTTCATTCAACATTCATATATTACATTAAATCTACATAAATTTGAGTCGTATTCAAGCACAATAAACGAAGCTCTCTGGGGGTATTAGCAGATGTTGGATCAGACTTTACTTATAAATCAGTCGACTGTCAAAATATGAGACTTACAAATCACAGGACAAAATAAAGTTAGCCCCACCAATCTGTATCGTACACCCACTCGATCATACATACGTGATGAACGTTCATATACACTTCAAAACGTCAGCCAGTCCAATTAAAAAGAAACGAAATACGTACTAAATTGTCAACAGTCATTTTAAGTGTTGTCTGTTTATAAATAAAGTACATGTAATTAAGATAATTTATTTGTGACATACTGTAACTGAGTTTTAAGTCATCTTATTGCTCATATCGATGAGCTTAAATTTAGTCAAGCTGTAGGTATGTATATAAAATATTTTTTTCATAATTCGCTAAAGACTTCAACTAGCCACATTCCATAGGCGTCAGTTTTATGAACTTCTCTTAATACGACGTTCTCCACAGGAAACTTAGTATACGCGTCATTACAGTTACCCGCAACAAGTGGTCTATTTCCTGCTGAGAAATGCCCTAATAGGGCGTTTCCTAACATAGAATTCTATTCAATTAATGACTACAGCAAATACGTCACTTAATGCAATGTGACGCCGCCATAAAGTAAATGAATTCAGTATGACTTGCGTTAATTGTCACATTATCGCTTTTATACGACTACGTTTTCCGTTAAATGTTTTGCAAATTTCCATTTTATTGAATAAAGTTCATATAGGTACATAATAATTTTCAAACAATAGAGATAGTGCTGTAATATGTATATTGTTCCTTATCTCTCAGACTTATTCAGCGAGAATTGGATGCACAAACAAAAGAACAATTCCCGTATGCAACCCCACGCTGGCGGCTGGCGATAAGACTGTTTCTAAATTGATGTTTGACTTGTCATTAATCCACGCGTGACAGATGTCACTGTACTCTATTATTTTTGACACATACAATTGTCATTTGTCATTGTGAATGATTTATAGAATGAAAATTAGAAAAACCCTTTACGAGTAATCACGTTATTTTTGCATTATTGCTTTTATTTTTTTTATCTTTTGTGTGTTTTTAAATCCATTGTATCATAGTACATACCTTTTATTATAAAGGTTTTTCTCATTTGTAATATTTTTTTACCACCCTCCTCAATAGTAACATTTTCTTGTATAATTTATTATTTATAATGGTTATACTATTTTAAATTGCAACATGTACTGCTCATGTATGACTGCCGTATGCATTGCGGGAGCTAGTTTCTTTTATCTCTAATAAGATCCCAATGCGAATGTCGCGGGCTCCCTAAAGTAATAAACTACTAGTACGCACTAAAATTGTTTTCATTGTTTCACGATTTCTTATACATATATTCAAATAAATGTGTTGTGTTCAAACAAATATTTTTTAGAAATAAGTCATAAAAAATGTTTATTAAATGATTTAAAAAAACTTAAGAGATTTTTTTTTATTTAGACTGTTCATCTACTACAATTTATTAATAGACTTAAATATTTAGATTTCTTTCTTTATTTATTTTTATGTAAAAAACGATTAAAAGCAACATTGAACGTCAGATTAACCTTGTGCAAATGGAAACGCGTCCAATTGCGTATAGGAAATACGTCGAATTTGTAGAACAAATATAAATGTTTGAGGGTAGATCGGGGGTAGATAATTACATTTTTTGATCTCCGAATTCGGGGGATGACGTCAATACCGACACGTCAAGTCTTTGTATCGGACGTGTTTTGATACTGTCAGAGATAGACGCGGACGAATTGTTACCATACTTCACTTGGACAAAAAAATAACAGTTAGTTTATTGAATAAGAGCTTATACGAAACTGAACGTTGATTCGATGGAATACAAAAATATTTTTTTCTCATATTCACATGCTACTCTTATATTTAGCATTAACTTTTATGGCCACAATATCTTAATAATTGAATGAAATTTTAAGTTTAAGTACATAATGAGTTACAACATGCTAATAAAAAAGGAAATGTGTGACAGCTATAATTAAAAGGATTTTTTCTAAATTTATAATTAAAATCTGTCACACACAGTATTTTATAATTCTTTGAATGAATTTCTTAAAGGAATAAGAATAGTTGGTATTTATAGAAAGAAAAAATGAAAGAATTATAGAGAAAAAAAAAACACATTACGAACGAGTATGCGGTAATAAATTTGCTTATGTTGACAAAGGAAAACCTTTAAAATTTTATTATTATATTTAAAACCGATGTTTTTAATAAGAGTATTTTTAATTAGGTAATCTATTTTCTAGACTGGCTGCAAAATGCATCAAATCGTGTTTGCATAAGAGTTAAGTTAAAAATAAATTAAAAAAATAAAAGTCTAAATACCATATCATTAATTGAAAAACTCGGAAAATATAGTTTGAAATCCCATAACAGTTTGAATGATTATGAGAAATACTTTGAAAAAAATCAATTATTTAAAGGTGAAGGTTCAAGTGAGAGCAAAAGTATCTTATAAAAATCTGTTTACATCCGATATAAACATATTTGATTAATATTTAATCATTTATTCGTTGTAGTAAATTTATTAATGTTCTTAGTCGGAAAATAACTCTTTAAATTCATTTTAGAAAAGAGCTCTCAAATATGTATTTTTGTATGTATTTGTTCGAGTAAATAAATATATATTTGTTCGAGGTTTGTTGCCTATTAATTGATTTTTAATTTATTAGTTGATTTAAATAGCATACCAAAAAAAATTAATAAAAATAAAACTTAGAATAAATAAATTTGTTATATGCATTACACATACATATATCACTTTCCGTACTACTTTTGTCTTCTTTTTATTTTCTTTTCATTTATTTTCTTTAGCATTTTGCATTATTTTTATCTACTTCATTAAAAATAAAACGAATCACGACTAAGAAACTTCATTATAATAAACGTATTTTTGTTTCCAACTTAAGCTAAAATAAAAAGCTAATAATGTAAATATTTAAAATGAGATATAAAGTTTAAAATGTAACACTTACCTAAGAGCTTCATAACTTCAGCCTGGCTGATAAGCACGTTAAGATGGCCCGTTGCCAGGGGCAACGCGAGCCACATCGCCCAAGCGAAAATCAACCTTTTGGAAACCATTGCTGATGATTCACTGTTTCAATTTCACCTTTAAATACATGTTCACACTGACATCGACGTAAAAGTTATGTCGTTTCCATATTGGTATTATATTTATATAGAACCCCTTCAAATATACCTCTGCTAACACGAGATGAAATCATAATAATACACAATTGTAATGAAACGAAAAAATATATAGCTTATGATATATTAAATTCAAACTATTTCAGTTAAAAAAATATATTATATAAATGAAATAAAATAAAATTAACAAACGTATTAATTCTAATTGTGAAACAAACGTTAAATTAATAAGAACTCATCATTTAAATATATTTTTTATAAGATATATTCGTCGCTGAAAATAACCTCGCGGCAAAACGTATCGTAATGTTATCCTGAACTTGTCGAGTAACGCGCTAGGCGTCCGACCGCGCCGCACTGACGTCGCCGTGAAACGCCGGCCAACAAGTTACTCTCTGACATGCGCACTTAACCCCAGCCCTCAAAACTAACACTATATACAATAGACCCAGCTCTGATCACCACGATATTTCATATTAACGACTGAAATATTATATTTTTTCAGTGGTGATACCTTTAAAATTTTTCCTGTAATTTTTAAGAGAATTAAAGTTCATCTCTCATATACTCAGTGCAACTTATTAACGTAGTGTTCTGTACTTTTTTTCGAATGAAAAATGCGAAGACGAAAGTAGATAGTCTCCTGCATAATTAAACCCACTTCAATTAGATACAATTACGTTGCAGTTTCTGTACGATATACATCCGCAGCTTGAACAAGCTTACTATTAATTTTAAATCTCCTTTATTACTCAAAAACCTCATACCATCCATAATTAATAAAAATATCATATAAATATTTTAACAATCAACGGTCGCATAATGAGTGTTATTCAATTTTAATTTTATTCATTTCTACAAATCAGTCTTATATTGAGTCCTTTCAATTGGAGCGAAAATGTGTTAAAAACTGTAAGGCTCTGACGGAGAGTTCTAAAGGAATTAATTGAGTTTGTCTCAAGGGAATGGTGTTTCCGTTTTGCATTAGGCCCATTCGCGCTTTGCTAATTAAATTATTTTCTCCTTTAAACAACGATACAAAGTAAAGAACTTATAAAAGAAGTGACAGTTACATTTTCCATCAGTAATGTGTCTCTTTTTGATTTGATATAATTTTATTTATTTTGTTTTAAGTTATATCAAAAAATTGATAGTCAAAACAAATTTTTGTTTTATTATTTATAAAAATATTTTTGCCAGTTAATAGCTACAGCGTTTTTTCAAAAATAGAATTTTGTATCTAGATATTTTAAATGATTAAAAATATTTTTAATAACATAAATATATGTATGATTGTTTTTTGCTGCAAAAACTTTTATATATTTTTGGTATAGAGTTATAAATTCTATACGATAACTTTATATTCCCACGAAACAATATTAAATATTGTAGTATAGTTACAATTGCAGCACTAGTGTGACATATGGTAGATAAAATTGTGATAAAAAAAATATGGCAATTAAAGATGAAAATACATGAAATCCTTAAGAAACTGAAGTTCAAAAGAACATATTTCCCCGATACATCAAACAAGTTATTTAACTCGAGATTACCAGTTCGTGGCGAATGTATAAATAATCAAGCAGTGGCACTGATGGATGAACTTGATTAATCAGAATTCGCCATCTCATTATATAGATTACTCATAAAAAGTAAACAATAATTTTTCTATACGTTTTTGTTGCTCATGACGAAGGATTTTGTTTTGTATGTTGTTTTTCAAGAAAGCATTCGCGAGTTTGTTTTGTGTCGAAGGATAGAAATTAATTCAGATACGTTTTTAGATTTTTGCAAGCCACCTAATGAATGTATCCATCAAAACATTTTGTATTTAACCACCAATTAATGTAATACTTACTTTCAAATGCACTACACCGATGCTCCCTGAAATTCATGTTGAATTCAAGTACCTCATAAATATAATTACTGCCATATTTTGCATTATGCATTCGCCTCGGATGCACCTACGCTTCAGAGCGCGCTCTGACGGAAAATTGTAGAAACTCACACGGGCGTGGAGTGTACACGTCGTCGCAAACTTTCCGCTTGCTTATATATTTTTTTTATTTTTGCAAAAGCAACGTCTATTGAATAATGAAGTTGTGAGGCCAGAGTTTCGCGCTTGACTGCTGCGGCTTGGAAAAAAAATGTATTTATTGTTTACCTTTTATAAAAAATAGTTGTGCATTTATTATAAGATTCAAGCGAAATTTCACCAGCAATTACCATTGAAAAGAAGGAAATGAGAGAGAGAAAGATGCATAGATTGCACAGATGTTAATACTTTCCTGTTATTGTGAAATTCATAAATTGCAAAAAGAAACCGCACTGTGCAATTTGTTATTACAAACCGAACAATATCGGGCTAGTTACTATTTCGCAGCTGGCTGCTGTAATAAAAGCTTATTTATTGTTACGTTTAAATATTTATCTTGTTTCTGGATGGGAGCTATTAATTTTCTATCATCAGACGTAATCGTTTCTTGCTTTCTGAGAATCGGATTCGATACTTTGATAGTTTTATAGAAAACTATCAGAATATGTTTTGGAAACTGTAGAATTAATATCTACATGATTGTTTTTTAATGAGCACTTTGAATTATGAACTTTAACTTTATGATTTATTAGAAATCACTTTCAAATCACAATATTTTCTTAATGATATACGAGTATGATTCAGGTTATTTTATGTCTTACTAGTTTTTGCCCGCGACTTCGTCCGCGTTAGTTTGGTCAAGAGTAATATATGTAGGTATAGCTGACCAGTCGAACTCTATTCCGTCTTACAGGCCATAAATAATCAGGTTTTTCCTGTTTCAATCAAACAGAATTGACATATTTGTTAGTTGTCAAATCTAATGTCAAAAAAACTTTTGTATGGGAAATAGAAAAGGGCTGTTTCTAGGGTTTTCTCGGCAATTATTCCAATTTTTCTCACCTTTTAAACCTTCCCTCGACTTTCAGGAGTATTTCTAGACTAAAATTAGCCAAATCGGTTCAGCTGTTCTCGAGTTTTAGTGAGACTAAGGAACAGCAATCCATTTTTATATATATAGAAGACAAATGATACCGGGGATCTAACTTAGCGTGGTATTTATAAATGATTTCTTATTCCGAACAAATATGGCTTATAACATCCGACGGGAATCGAAATCTTTATGATAATCTCTGATGGACCGATTTATATGTAGATATCGTTTCAACCAATTTAGAAATCGATCGACTTTATTAATTTTCATGAATATAGTTTCTTAATAGATTTTATATAGGGTATTTTTTTATGTTGTTTTGTTAGAATGTATGAGTTAAATACATTTATTACGCTACAATATTTAAACAACCCTTGAATAAATCAATTATAACAATCAGTATATTAAGATATAATTCAAGTATTAAATTAATTGAATCATTTTTCGCATAAAAATTCACCATTCTTTAGATGTGTTGATTCATAAAAGTTTACTTTCGGCTCATAAGTGTAATTGATTGCTTAAATTAGAAATACGTTAATGGCTTCACTCGCCGCTAACGTGTTTATTTTAAACAAATGGTGTATCGAAAATTGTTTTTATAGGTAGTTTGCTTGAACATAAATTATGCTTTAAGTAATACAAGACAAGCTCATTATTGTTTTGAAGTGTCTAAACGCTTTAAAATTTGTATAAGCTCTCATACAATAAATATTTCGACGAAATCGTTGAGAGTGCTTATTTATAATATATATATTTTCTAACTTAGCTTATAAATGATATTTATTTATGTTTGAAGTATATTTTTATGGAACACAGTGGTAAGTTATTATGATATTATATGGATTCGTATAACAAATATGAACATAGTGTTTTCTGAAGCAATATATAATATCCATGAGGAATTGCAATCCAAACACATTATCTCATATCGAGCCCATGTAAATATTGACGGTTAAAGCCCTAAATCTCTTGTTGCCAGCCACTTTCGTTGGGATAGAATTACCCGACCAAATAAACGGATATCCGTATGCCTAACCATGGAACTCTCGATATTTATACTAATTTTCTTAAAAGGTACGAATATGTAAAAATGTTCGAGTGCCTTACATTTATAGGGTTAAGATGTTATTTTCTGGATCACTTATTAAACTAAGTGTACCTTTACATTTTAAATAAACTCAATGACATTTATATATCTCATGAATATTAATTAAATCTTTGTATAACAACGTGCCTACGTTAGGGAACAACAATTTAGTGTCCCGCTTAAGCGGATCTGGAATATTCGAAAGTTTTAGTTTCCGAGCGCCTTTGTGTATAAAATGCTAAGCGACGAACTAAGAGTATACATTAACTAGATGCAAATCATTATAAACTCATTCAATATTCCGTTTTAGACGCTTTCCCGCAAAATGCAATCGGTATTTGGTAACCGCTGGCTGGGAGTGACGTGCCCCCCTAAATTCGGGGAGTTTAATTGGAATCCAATTTTGATTTAATTTTGTTACGTATAATCATGTGCGTCTACAAAAGAATACTTGTGAACTTTTGGAGCTGATTAATTGTTTAATGGTCCACAAAACAGATTAGTCGGTTTGAATAATATTTATTTAGGATGCTCGTTTAAAATGAAATACTACTATGTTAGCTTTAAAATATTTATAATACTGGGTATATTTTAATCCTAATATATATATTTAGTTCATGACTTTGTAAAAAGATTTGAGGTTTATGAAATCAGAAGATCGAACCATAGTAAAAGGTTATTGAAAATTAACAAATAATGTAGTATAATTTATTTCGATATTAAAAATCTGCAACCCTATTTCACTACTATTTAAAATTTATATGTAAATTATAATTACTACAAAGTAAAGTACTTTATTTGCTTATAAATATGTGAGTCGTAGATATGAAGAATAAATTATAGTTTTTATAATAAAGTACAAGTATTAAATTTAA